TACAAAGATCATAATAAAATTCAGGGTTGGTAAATAAAAATTTTTATATCTCTGGGCGAGATGAATAAAAAAGATAAGAGACAGACACTAGGAAATAAAATGAAAAGATAAGATCAATCCAGGAGATTCAGCACCTGCCTAATACAGGATCCAGAGAAAACAAACCGGGAATATAGAGGGAAGGTCACAAAGTTCCAGAATAAAAGGACCCACTGAGGGACCAGAACAATAAATACAAAGAATCCCAGGAAGGCACATCACTGTGAAACTTCAGATGACCAGAGATAAAGGCTCCCAAAAGGTTCTAGAGGGAGAAAGAGAAAAGCAAAACAAAAGAAAGGAACGTCACTGGGTGTCTCTGAAGCACACCGTAAACTAGAATCCTTCACAGAAATTATTTTCAACCTAGAATTCTATACCCAGCTAGGGAACAGAATAAACACACTGCAAACATTAATACCCCAAACACAGAGCTCATACGCACTCTCCTGGGAAACGACAGGAGGAAGGGCTTTTCCCACAGAGGCTTTCCCAGTCCCCTGACTCGAATTCTCATCTCTCCAATCCCAGAGCACTCCGTTAAAGCACCCAGTGTTTGTCGTGGCCCGAGACAGGTCATGGCCATGTCTGAGCATCCTGTACCCCACTACCTACAAAACACGAAGTGCTCAAAAACAATCTGCTTAAATCACCATCAGCCAGACACACCTTTGGAATTTCGTCTGTCATTTAAAGAATGCATCCCACAAGCGTTGATTAGCCTCTAAATGCCCCCCCCTTTTATACTGTAATGGAGTTGTTTAAAAATGAAACATCTATGTGCACCATTCAAGGGCACTGGTCTTGCTTTAGTAATGTTTTTTCCTAAACTTGTTTATTAGCAAATTCAAGAAGATAGAGACTTCCTATAAACTGCCCTCCTCCGCAGCCCCACACATGCATAGCCTCCCTCAGTATCAGCATCCTCCAACAGTTATTACAAATGATGAATCTGCACTGACACAGCGTAATCACCCAAAGTCTATGGTTTACATTAAAGTTCACTCTTGGGGATGTACATTCTATGGGTCTGGACAAACAGATGACAACACACATCAACCGTTATAGTGTCAATCAGAGTAGTTTCACTGCCCTAAAAACCCTCTGTGCTCTTCTGTTCATCTGTCCCCGACACAGACCCCTGTAGTAACGCTTCTTAATACTATGTGTTTGGAACGTGGGCAACACGTTTGCAGTTTTGTGGGCCAGGTCTTTTTTTTACTACTCAACTCTGCCATTATAAAGTTAAAGACTCCGTAGACAATATGCAAATGAATGAGCATCTCTGCATTCCAATAAAACGTTATTTATAAAAACAGGCAGCCCACACGCTGTCATTTGCCAACCCCTGAGCAATGGTATCACTTTATTCATTCCCACCACTTTCACAGAAAGGAAGTTTCTTGATAGCTTGATTTGGCAATAATAAGATTTTTTCCCCCAATTTTTCTCTGGGAGTTGGAACAACACCCAATCTGAGATGGGTGAGATAAGACCCAAGCTGAGATGATGTGATAAGAGACAATTTCCTTTTCAGAATTTCCCTGTACTGAAGCCACATTGCTTTCTTTCCATTTTAAATCCCAAGCGTCTCAAAACTCAGAAGGAAATCACTCACTCTTTGAAATTGTGATCTCTGCTTTTCCAACAAGCATGGCTCAGGTAGCCTCACAGAGCAAGTCCCATAAAGTGGCTGCCCTGGGGACGTGCTGTTTGTTGAAACTCTGTCACGTGGGCACTTCAGGGAAGCGCTGTTTGACTGCTTATGGTAAATTAAGAACAAGAGCCAAGAGCTTTCGCTTCTAGAAGAAATCAACGTTTGTTATGTTCAATGAGAACCAACTATTGGGCAAGGCAAGGGTCACCAACTATCTGCGAATAGAACAGAGGCAAACCCACGCCTGCCTAGAATGGGGAATTCATCTCAGGAGATCCCTTGGCCCAGAACAACTGTATCCACGCAGTCAAGTGCAACTTACAAAACTGATTTTAGTAAAGGAAGAAAGAGCGTGTGTATCAAAGTGGGAGTCCACTGAGGTCACCCCAACTGAGGCCCACCACATCCTCTGTGGAGCCAAGAGTCACATCAACCACTAGGCTTCCTATTAGCAACAACAAAAAAAAATCCAGAAAACAGCAATGATGATTTTTCTAAGTGGATATGGAAGCTCCCTATGAGGCAATCACTGACCTGTCATTACAGAAGAAGAAAGAAAACAGAAGAAAATACTCACGACAGCCTAGAGGCTGGAGGATTCTGTGCCCAAGTAGTAAACAATGCAGCATTTTAAGTACATCTTCAGTGAAAAATAGTAACAGCCTCTGTCAAGAAGCTTGTCCAGCACAGACGGGACATCAGCCCCACACCTGACAAGGCAGCTGGTGGGCAGACCTGTCAGAAAACGCTTTTGACAGGGAGCGTGTGCCTCTCAAGTAAAAACTCTGTGGGCCCTGGTCCCGGCTCTCTGCGCTCCAGCAGTGTTCTAGCTTGAGTTACTCACATGAGAGCTACTTCTTTCCCGAGTTCAAATGCAACAGCAGATACGAGTTGGTGCTGCCGCCCTCCGCCAATCATCTGAAAGTCAGGATTAAGGCTTTCCTGGAGGGTTTCACTTCTGACCGCTTACTAACACTTCTGAAGCCGCTTAAGAGCTCAGCACCAAGTCTCTGGGAGAACAGAACGTGTCCTAAAACAGCAGAGAACTTGAGTGACCCCACAAGGACACAGATGGAGGGCAGACGGCCGCGGGCCCCAGATGAACACCATTCCAGGTACCTCTACACCACGCCAGCACGGGAACCCCTGACCGTAAGGAGACAGGAAACCAGTACAGCAGGCGTTCCTCCAGCTGGCACCGAGACGGCCTCCTAAACAGATACTGACTTAAAACCTGATGTCAGAGAGGAAGAACAAAGTCGGAGAGCAAGTGATTCCAAATGCATGTGCGGCCTCACGTAACAGAGATGCTGAAAGCTGGAAGCCCCGCAAACCCCACACCTTCACGTGTGCTGGGCCCTCTGCCACGTTAGCCTCAGAGGGCATTTCAGAGACACATACACCTGGGAACGTGCTTCCTCTCAATCCCCCCCATAACTCTGGAGCCAAATCCTTCCCATGAACCGCTAAGTGTTCAGTCTAAGTCTCCTGACTCCTTTCTCGGGGCTGCTGTAACGAATTACCACAGACCCGGCGGCCGAAAATGAAAGATTTATTCTCTCCCAGTTCTGGAGGCCAGACGTCTGAACTCAAGGTGTCAGCAGGGCCGTGGTGCCTCCGGAGGCTCTATGGGAGGCATCCTTCTCTGCCTCTTCCAGCTTCCAGGTGTTCCTTGGCTTGTGGCTGCATCACTTCAATCCCTGCCTCCATCTTCACGTGGCCTTCATCCCTGTGTCTCTGACTATCAAATCTCCCTCTGCTTTTCTCTTACAAGGACACCTGGCATTGGATTTAGGGCCCACCCTAAATCCAGGATGATCTCGAGATCCTTAATTATATCTGCAAAGACTTTTCCAAATAAGGTCCCGTTCACAGGTTCCGTGGGCTAGGACTCGGACATGTCTTTTTGGGGGCCATTACTCAATGCACTACAGTCTCCAAGAAACCAGAGGAGAAAGCGAGTTATTTATTTAAGCAAATGTGGACTGTGAACACCTCGTTGTATTTAATCACCGAAAGCTCAAGACACAATTGTGCTAGAGGCTGGCACAAAGGTCAGCGAAGTGTCCTTGAATAAGTCTCTGACTCTGTCTAAGCCTCACTATGCCTGTGCACAAAATGGGGACAACTGGACCCAGCAGGGCTGCTGCACAGGTGGATGGAGATTCACTTGGAGCGCCTGGCACCCCAATATTGTGACAGGCCCTAATCTCCAAAGACTCTGAGCAAATGCCCAATAACCACCCTGCAGGAAAGGCCATCCAGTTATTCCCTGATGCAGCCACTATTGGGATGTGTATCAGGGACTTAGAAAAAGCAGCAAAGATTATTGGTACTTAGAAAAAACAGAGAAGATTAAGGTAACAGGCTTGCCAAAGGGGAACCAAGGACTTTAAGTCATGAGAGCAGCCTGTCCTCTCCCAAGCAGTCACCTATGAGCCAGGACACTCTGGAGCCTCAGCTTTGCTGATAAACAATAATATGGATAACTGGGGTTTATTTAAAGCGCGATCCCGAGTACTTTACATACGCTGAGTGGATTAAATAGGACAGTGCACCTAGACGCGCTGGCATGGCGGATGCTCCAGAGATGTCAGTGGTCAGCATCCCTTATGTTAACCGTCATTCCAACCAACAGTGGAGGCCTGATCATTCTCACTGTACGTAGCAGCAACTGAGGCACAGAGAGTTTAAGTCACAGAGTTAGAACTTGGCAGAGCCTGGACTTGTCACACTTCAAAGACCTGTGTGATTTCCACCACACCACCCTGCACTGGGTTCATAGAATTGAGTTTTTGCTGTAAGGCTGGTCCCAGCGCATAAAACTATAATCAGACTATACACTGGGGGGGGTATGCATGTATATATGTATGTATACAAATATGTACTATATGTTAGTACATACACACACACTCACTCACTCACTCACACACATAATACATTAACTGAAGGAGTAAACTAGAGAGAACACTGAGCTGAAAGGCGTAAGATCCCAGGGAACATGGTTAATTCCCTTGCACTGTCATCTTCCCAAATGGTAATGCCAAAGGGTAAAGTGTCACATGTTCCACTCTGCTGAGTTCACAAAAGCAACACACACAATGTTTTGTAAACTCCAGAGCCTCATCCAAAGGCTTATTCCTTCCCATTGAATATCTTGGTTCTAAGTCAACCACCAAACAGAGAAGAAAAGTGAACTGGGCTTAACATTCACTTATCAACACTCTTCTCTCCATCTAAACTCCAAAGAAAGTGATCAGGAGACATGACCCGGGAATTAGAGTGTCCCAACCACTGGACTTACAGGAAGAATGGATGCTGGGGAAGCTTTTGCGGCCCTCGGACACCAGGTCAGGGTCACCTGTGCAGTGCATTTCCGAGTTCATCACTCCATCTGGAAAGCAGCGGTAAAAGAAATCGGGGCGAGGTCTACAAAAGACACCATGGACATTTTCAATATAAAATGTTGCCATCACAAACAAACCCCAAGCTGACCCCCGCCAGGTCCCACTGCCCCAACCAGCTGCTGCTTCTGCCCTCAACTTTGGAGCCCCCAGTGAAAGACACTGTCGGCCTGGGAAAAGCTCAGGCTTCGGGGTCAGAAAGATCTGGGTTAGAACTCGCACTCTGCCACTTACTAGTTTGACGACCTTGGGAAGGTCACGTAGCCTCAGTTTCCACATTTGTGAAAGAGGGAGACCAGTACCTTCCACAGCTGAGGTCCTGAGGGTTAGGTGAGATGACTTACCGGAGCCCCCTAAGCGCAGCGCTGGTGGAGTGAAAGGTAGTTCCTGCCACCATCTACGGCTCCGCCACTCGGAGGCTGCATCCAAGATCCAAGACTGAATTTGAATGGCCAACTGCCTGCCCTTCCTTAAATAGCAGGTCTCCCCTAACCTCACTGGGAGGACCTGGAAGCTCAGCTCCGAGATGGAGAGCACACAGTCACCAGGTGGGCTGCTGGTCCAGGTTGTGGGGGAGACTCTCCAGGGAAGTGGAGTAGAAGCTGGCCCTGGGGTCCAGCCTCCTGCCACAATCACAGCTCACATTTCGGGAGTACTTCCTGGGTACCAGACCCCATGCTAAGCCCTGTACGTAGGTCATGGCATATGGTTCATGTGACAATCCCAAGGCAGGCCCTGGGACTTCCCTCGTCTTACAGATGAAAATAAAGGCTTAGAAAGATTACGTGCCCGCCCACGGTCACACACAGCCAGTAAGTGGCAAAGGCAAGCTCTGAACCCCAGGAATTGGATTCTTGCCCCTACACACTTCACCCCATGCGTGTCTGCTTCCCTCAGGTGAGAATTCTCACACAGACACGTGACGGTCGATCACATTAATTCAACTAATCCTTGCTGAAGGCCTGCCGTGGACAAGGTTTCGCTAACGCTGTGAATAGAGTCCCCATTTTGTGTACACACTGGCTTACGGTTCACACACTGGTCCTCCAGCTCTGGGACCTAAGCCCAGCAACAATCCACCAATATCTTAACCTATCAATTAGCAATAATCCGCCGGAGCTGCTGGTGTACAGTCTCTCCTGCACGGGGCTAGTGCTCCTCCGACTGTGGCTACTCACCTATTGAACCTCAAGCTCAGAGAGGACAAAGGCCAGAGAATCAGCATTTATCAGAGCCCCACAACAACTCTAAGCACAGAAAGTTGGAAAGACACCACAGCACCAGGTCACGCACTTCCTAATTTGCATCCACCTTCTGCCCCCTCTGTGCCTGGCCAGCACTGCACGCCAAGTAGATGATCATTAAACACTGAGATTCTGAGAGGGGGGAATCCAACCCGTCCAAGGCCAACAGCTAGTCAGGGCCAAAGTCATGTCTTGAGTTTGGGTCTTTTGACTGATTGTCTCTACAGAGACCAGCTCACTTCCGGAGCAGTTGGGGGAGAAGCCAAAGATAAATGGAGGACAGAAATCATTTCCCAGGCAGGTAAGAGAAGTGTGCCCTGAGCCAAACAAAGCGCAAAAGCCAATCCATACTTCTTTTCCCAAAGAGAACAGTAAGTAAGCAACCTTATTTATTTCTGGAGGCCAAAACTGACAAGCGAGCGGGTGTCTGGCGAGGACCTGGGACAGCAGTACATAAACTGGAGATGCCAGCAGTGGGCTTTAGCCCACAAGATAGTACAGTCAGTGGATACTTCTTTACTGCTGATGTTCGGCTTACTGAAATACTGAGTTCGTAATTCAAAGGAGAGGAAAGATCTGTGTTGAGGACACAAATCCCAGGAGGACAAGAATTTAAGGGAAAACCAGAACAGCTCAAATCTGTCCCATCCAGTGTTCTGTGGCCAAGGTTCCTACACAGATGACCTTGAGAGTCTAAGTCACTGTTTGTTTTTGGAACTTACCTTCCCACTATTAATTTAATAGTGTTTGTGCAGACTCCATTCAAAGCAAGAGCCAAGGACACCGCTACAAAACAAAACCAATAGACAGAAAAATAACCAGCTGGCTCTCAAATCAAAACCATCATCATCATCATCGTCATCACTGTTTCATCATCATCATAACTGATTCATGACCATGGAAATATGAACAAATACCCTTAAACAAGAGAGGGAAATTTGAGTGGCCAGAGCGAAACATAATTAGAACAGGACTTCAGAGAGTGCCTTATAAAATTCCAAGCCCCTGTGACATGAAATTTATCTCTCCTTCTTGACTGAAATTTTCAGTATCACAGAGCAGTCCATCTATCATGTTCTGGCCTGACAGTAACAGATTTAATACTACAGCACGTAGAATTTCTTTCACTGGTAGCAAGAAACATAACTTTTCTGTTTCCTCCCGGCAACCTTCTCAGACATAATTCTAATCAGAGCAGCTGCCGGAATCCTGCAAACAGGAGGTGCCCACTCCATCATTACCTCCTCATTGACCTACCCGTCTCCTGCCGACAGCTGTCCACTTGTTATCAAACCAATCACTGTTTCTGAGAAGGTGAAGCATCCCACCTTCTCACTGGGTTTTGGAAAGGTTTACCCAGGTGGGGCTTGCCGCCACCTAAAACAGTAGGCACTTCTGGATGCCATGCTTTAAAAATAGACAGCCTGGGGACTTTCTCCAAGCAGCTGGGAAGGACTTTGCTGGATGAAGCACAGATTGTCCAAAGGGTGCAACTGAAATGAGTCACAGAGCCTTCTCTGCAAGAACGCTGCACCTCTCTCCTGTGTTTATCAAGACTGCACAAAAGGCAAGTCAATGCGATGGAAGGTCAAATGCTTTGCATAAGCAATAAAAACCTACTGATGCCCCGTTCCATTGCTCTGTTGAATAATAAAGCGTAGTTACCATTTCCCTTTGGCAAATATTCACTGTTCAATACCAGCTGAGATTTATGTAAGAAAGTAACAGTGTAGGGATATTTTCAGGAAGGAGCTGCCTAGAGCAATTCATGGTCCTCCAGGGAGACAAATGTGTTATTCTACAAATGGAAAGTACCGTGAATGACCAACCCAGTCACCAAGGGCACAGGCCACTGAGATGGAGGCAAAACTCACCTGCTTTTAAGAAGCCATGGGAATGGGAAGCAGAGAGAATGGGAGGGACCAGTTCAAATGAACACTTTTGTCAAAGGGAAACTAATGCCCCAAGTATGGGATGGGAAACACTGCCGTATCTGGTGTGGTAGAAAGGAGGGATGGGCCACCAGGGTGGGGAGCAGAGCATGAGTCAGCAGCATGGTGCCACCATTGAAACACCAAGCACGTAACTGGGGTGCATAAACTAGAAGCAAGCATGGGGGAACTTGGAGAGATCTTCTGATTACATTCTGTACACACAGACCCTTCCTTCCTAAAACATCGGCTTCCCTTCTGTCTCACAAGCTCAGAGCACTGCCGAGAGGTCTCCTTTGCAGAGAGGAGGGCATATTCCCCGGTATCTTCCCTGCAGCATTCTCTCAGAGCCACGGTAATTAACAGGCTGTGAGGCGGCCCTGAAATGACAGGGGTCTTTGCTTGTTAGGGCTGGTCCAGCAGGCTCACTGCTGCGTTTTCCCAGCAGGGCCGGACTCCTTATCCTGATCCCAGTGTGGCCTTATCACAGAGATCTCCAGGAACAAGCATCACTAGCTGATCTCACAGCACCCTTGGGGAACCTGACAGACCACTACATCAATTCACAACACCATGCGCGTCCCCAGCCTCGGCAGCGGCTGGGCTTCCTGTAGCCCAGAGCAGTTCTCTGAAAAGCTTCAAGTAGCTGAGCTAGAAACTGTGTGGATGTACTGTAGCTACCAACCTCTGGCAGCTTCACTCTCTGATTCAAAAGCCTGAAGGAGACCAAAAAGAGTGGGGATCTGGAGTGACGATATTTAGGGTGGAAGTCATTGCAGCATTCTGAGAGTAAACGGAACCGATTATGACGTTCATCTGAACAGCACAACCCCCGAGGGACCAAAACAGGGGACCTTCCCCTGATGCCAGAGGGAAGGCTGGGCTGAGATTAGATGCATGAGAGGCTGGCCGAGTGGGAAATGAATGGCCACAGTCAGGCGGGCTTGCTGATTAACAATAGCCCTGGGCGGCTGGTTCGTAGGGCTGTGTTCACAGCGACCTACAGCACTGCAGGCTTGGGAGAAGCGTCAGAAAGACAAGCCAGACTGTGCCTGATAAAGAGATTCAAAGCAGCGTGTCCTGAGAGTTGGCCCGCAAGTGGCCTATGTTGAGGGTACGCCTGCTTACAAGCACCCCCGAGGATTTAATGTCTTTTGTTGTCACTTTCGCTGTTGCTAGGAATTCAGCACTGTGGTCCTTCCAAAACAGGGTTCTCTGTTATGCAGACCTGGCTGTCTGCAGCCCAAATCCCTTACAGCCCGACGCTGGGTGGGGCAAGCCCCCCTCCCCTCATCCAGGAGCAGATGCGCAAAGGGGCCCGCTGTGGACATGCAGACGAATGGGGGCCCTTGGGGTCCAGGTCTGCTGAGGATGCAGGGGTAAAGAAAAGACCTCAGCACTAAACCACCCTCGCCGAGGAAGTCCTGGATCCCAGATAGAGGTGGAAAAGTACTCCCAGTCTTCTGTCCTTGGTTTTTAAAGATCCACTCCCCAACCCCCTACTTCCAAGGCTCCCTAAAAGCAGTGATTTTTTTTAAACTGTGTACGATGGGAGGTTCTTCATCATTTTTACAAGCAGGCTCCCGTTTATTTAGGCAGACAGAACATCCAGTAACTCCGCCTTCTCTGTTAATATATAGGAGGTGGGTGTGGTGTGCAATTTAGAACTGCCATCCTAAGGGAGATTTAGCTGAGACTAAAAAGACCTACAGGAAGCTCCTCACTGCCTTAACAACAGCCCAGCTCCAAGAGCGGGCAGCAAATTATAACCATAACCATGAAAGACAGTTCTCATCCACAGTCACGTATCTTGGGACTCTGTGCCAGGGGAGCAGCTAGAATAACAAGGGAGGCACGAGAGGGCTCCCCGTGGGACATTTGGGGGACCACAGTGATATCTGTCCAAACACCGCCCCAGCTGCTCAAGCCACGTCCATGAGTGCACCGACACCATCCCTGGAAAAACTGACCCTCTCATCACCTCAGCTGAGGAGACTGAGACCACCAAACTCTCAAATCACAAATGAGAAGCCTGGGGTACACACCTGACTTCGGGGAGGGCACTACAGGCTGGCCAGAGACTCATGACTTTGGTGTCCACACTTCAGAAATGAGTCGAGCTGGAGTCTCCACCTGGAAAGTCTCGACCATGAGATGCGCTGAAACTTGGGGGGTGGGCACTGGAGCTGAATGGACATATAGGTGTGGGCCAGGGGCACCCACCATGACCAGCTCCAGCTTTGTATAGACCAAAGGTGTGGGCAGCAGAAATGACATCCAGACAGGAGACTGAAGCCAAGGGTGAGAGGAGAGGGAAGGCATATCACAGAGCAGAGGGTCAGGAGGCGAAGGGGCATCTCCACCCCAGGTGGCTTGGATCCCCGCTCCATCCCCACCAGGCTCCTCTGTCCTCTTCCTTATTCTTGGATGTCTTTGAGATTGCTTGGTATAGCCCTGTAACTAAATCTCTCATTTATTTGAGCTAATTTGAGAGGAATTCTGTTCTTTTCAACTAGACAGAGCCTAACCAAAGCCTGGTTATGTAACAAACATTCCCCACCCCTTTACTGTTCTCTATAATGTAGATTTCACCCTCACCGGCTTTCCCTTACCAAGAAAAGAGAAGACCATATTTTGCTACATTTTCATTTCCTCAAAGCCCAGTAATTAACAAACATAATCTTTAGTGAAGAATCTTGTATTTCCAGATTTACTACCTAACTGGACGGCGAGCCTACGCAATATACCAGCAACACAATTTGTGTGAGGGTTTGGGTAACTTTAAAGTGCAGTGTCAAAAAATAAACCTAATTCAGTTTCCTAACGACCAAACAGTTGAAAATCTGGCTACCGGGTAGTTTATTTTGGTTGTTAAACAAGCCAAATAGTTTTGCTTTCTCTTAATACTGTCATTTACTCAGTCTTTTGATTAATATAAAGATAAGGTAAAAAAATTTTAATCCTAAAAATGTCAAACTCGTAGCACATGAAGATACGGCTTAGCTTGGGGAGAATTTGTAACAATGGTATTATAATCAATGGCAAAGACTGTAGCATTTTTTACACAATCACACTTCCTTAATGCCAGAATGTTCCCAAACTGACAATGAGTTACGGAACTTTTTTCTAATTTATGTTTTACATCTGCTTTTGCCCATTTTTGCCTCTAGTTAATAGTGGTTGGTCAAGGAATCTGTGGTTGATTTTTGAATTGCCCATACTGTGGGCATATTAGCCCCAAATGTGGGATTGGGCAATCAGTGGTGACAATGTTTCAGACTCACTTTGCCTTACAGCCAAGAGCTGCCCTTCCCGTGTGCCTGGGAAGCACAAGAGCTCTGATGTGCGAGACTGATACTCATTTTCAGCACAAGGGACAGCGGCAATGGGCTGGCTCCGGAGGTAAGGTACTTACCATCCGTGCACTGGCTCTTCTTAGGGCTAACAGTTTATTCTGTCTAGTATCTTCCAGGCTTAATTTGGTCAAGAGAAAAATCAGTTGGGTGCAACTGAGATTTTCAAAATCTAGTCATCTAAGTTCTTCCCCATCCCCTAAAGCAGAAACTGTGAATACTCTACCTAGGAAGGCTTCCTTAATTTCAGTCTTGTCTGTCCGCCGGATAATTTTCACCACACAAATAACAGCCAGAGGTGTGAGGAAAGAAATTGCCTGGAAGAAATAACAAATAATCCCTTATGAGGACAGCAGTTTGCTATCAGAGGACTGACTGATAATTAGTTCCAGTTAGCTTCGTTTAGACTCACTAGTTGAATGATCTCACTGAACTCCTGACCTCCAACTAAGAAGGATTTATATCTATACTTAGAGGCTCCATAGACTTGAAAACTCGGAGGTCTGATTATGGGTTATAATTGATTTGTAATTGCTGGGAGCCACGCTGAAAGTGGTGGCTTTTTAAACAGAAAAGGATAGTGTATAATTATAATGACTCATCTTTGCCAGGAACCCTCGTCCCGTCCTCCCCCACAGAGGGGGAGAACCCTTGGCCTCCCACCCCCAGCGCTCTGGCAGCGTGGGAGCACGTGGGACTTGCTTAGAGTCAACTGATTCATTCCCTTTTGGTGTTCTTTTGTTGCATAGTCATTTCCTCTGCAAAGCTGAGGATAGTCCTATTGCATGAAGTCTCCTTCCACCATCCCCTTCTCTCCTCAGGACCAAAACACACAGAAGCACAATACGTGTTTAATGGATCAAGCTGGTGGGATTCAGATGCAAACAACAGTCATTACCAAATCTTCTATGAGGCAGGAACTATGTCTAGGTACCATCAGGAAGTAGAGTCTCTTAAGTCCTCACGCTGGCTCTGTGACTATCTTTGGCAGGCTTGGGGACTCCATCATGTGCCTGAGGACACACAGCTGGTGAGAAGCGAGGCCAGGCTTTGGAGGCCAGGCTCTCTGCGTCCTGTCCCTAGTCCTTACTCAGTATTCTATAATTAGCACATTGTTTTCAGCATTCCAACAACCAAGAAAAAGGTATTTATGTTACTTTCTTATAACAACTCAGGATAACAATCAAAAGGGATTAAATAGCTTACAAATCCACAACTGAGCTCACAGATGGTGGTGGGAGGGGTGGGATGTGGCAACTATTGACCAATGGTGCTCACACTTTGGGAAATCGCCACCCACGCTCTCTAGTCAATGTCATTTGCTGGAAAGGGGCTTTCCAGTAGGGCCAAGGCATGAGTAGAAGATACTTTTCTTTTTACAAAAACAGAATTCAACCAAATGAACACCATCTTTCAAAATAAACAGGCATGCCCTACACACTTGCTACAATAGACTGCCAGAGCTCAAAGCATCTTGGGGACTCCTCTTTGGGAGCCGTCTTCAGAGACAGCCCATGAGAAACCCTTCTCCTTACTGGCCAGTTTCTTTCTGACCACAGGTGGTAGTAACCAGCTCAAAGAGTACATCAGCAGCAGCCCTGAATGACTTGGCTATTAAAACACCACATCACTAAGTCCTACCACCACGGAGGGGATTCAGAAGGCTACAGCATGGGTCTTAAGGCAGCCATACAAGAGGAGGCTCAGAACTGAAACAGAGAAGCAGAGGATTTCCCCAGGGGTGGCTCACAAAGGCAATACTCACTTGTGAATGAATAGTTCCGGCAAGTCTGTGAGTTTCCACAGGTGCCTGGGTGGCACTCACACCTGAATACATGCTGACTCGGTACAAGGCTGCATCCTTCAAACACTCACAGGGCAGCTCAAGGAATCGACACTGTGTAACAAGCATCTCAAAGGATACTGATACTGGTGACTGAGAAACACTGTGTCAGTTTTCATTCACACATTCACTGTTTACAGAGCGATGACTGAAGACCCTGCTTACAGAAGCCCAAAGCTACAGTCAAGGTTGAAGAAATTCTTAGCTTTTTTGTTTCCTCTCGCTTTGGGCACTGAAGACCACTTATTTCTGCCAAATAGGAGAAAGTAGCTCACTGAACAGTAAACAGGGCTGCAATGACCCCACCAACAGTCAAACCTTAAATATGAGGACTGAAGAAAACCCTATAAGACAATCCCAGATGTCAATACTCTGAGGTTAGACAGAAACGGAACCCTGGAGAAAATACGATATGGGAAGACATTCCCTCTGAGGCTCTGGCGGCTGCCTGTGGGGAGGACCCTGAGTGGACTGTGCCGACCACAGAGGAGACGGGGGGCACCGCGTGGGAGACCCGCAGCTCCCAGCCCACGAGTGGGAGCTGGAGAAGGCATCAGAGCTGCCCAGCGGCTCCAAGCTCGTGGTCTGATGACCAAGGGGGTCGTTTTAGCACTGCTCGCTGCCTCAGCTCTCCTACTCCTCATTACAGCCCCACCAGACTGCACTTAATGCAACCTGTTCTGTGACTTTCCTAGGTAGATGCATATTGGGCTGTTTTCTAGAACCACTAACAAACCAATGTTAAGCCAATGTTAAGCACCCAGGAGGGCTCAGGGCTCCCCTCATGAGCTCCGCAGATGAGGGATTGCAGCCATCAGATGAGACACAGCCCCCACCCAGGCAGCCACAGCAGAAATGTCTGTGCATGACTGTGACGGGTGGCTGGGGCGGGGGCGGGGGACAGGTGGGGGTCCTTCTCTCCACCAGTCATCCTAATGGCATGTGGGCTCCAGTCCCCTTCCATCTTCCTAGAAACGTATCTGCCATATCCTTGAGCAGCACAGTCCTCAAATCAGGACAGAGACATATTTATGTTTATCATCTGCTCCCCTTTCTATAAATATTTTTCAACCAAAAGTCAGAATCAAGAGATGAGCCCCAGAAGTCAACACATTAGGGAAAGAACTTCCTCCTGTGCAAAAGTACCTCTGAAGCGAGTGAAAGAGGGATGAAGAGAGAAAAGGCACCCCTTTCACTCAGCAAGCCAGACTGAGTTAACCCAGTGCACTCCCCTTCCACGTTCTGTCAAAAGCCTTCAGAAGCCTCTGTTCCGCTGCCTGAGCCCGAGGAGAAAGTGAAGATGGACACAGAGACACAGGGGTGGGGAGTGGTTACTTCTACCTCCAAACAGGTGTGGAGATGGAGGACAGACAGCATTTCCCCCAGCACTGTTTTCCCTTAGGTTAACATTTCCATGGCTTTAAAAAAACAGTTTGAAAATCCTGAGAACAACCCAGGGGAAAGGCAGTGAACGGTCTGTGCTTATTAAATGGGACCTGAGAGAGACCGAAAAAATGAACTCCAGCCACTCACTGCTGCAGGATGCAGGGCTCATACTGGCCCCTCTCTATTCTCCACATGTTGTCCACACGAGGTATGAAAGGACAGGGCCACTGAACGTACATTCGTAGGTTAGAGGACAAAGGCTGACATGTTCTGAAAACTTACTAATGACATGATCTGTTCCATGCACTTTGTGTAAATTAACTCATTCAATCCTCAAGCAACCCTATGAATGACGCTCCTTACTTAACGGACAGAAAACTAAGGCACAGAGAGGTTAAGCAACCTGCTAAAAGCCACACAGCTAATAAGCAGTAAAGTGGGCATTTGCACACGGACTGTTTAAATCAAGCTCTGTGCTTTTAACCACAGTAATATAGCAGCTCTCACCTCAGAAGGAAGCAGCATTAATAAAACATGGTAAATGCCTTTACTCTGGAGTCAGAGAAGGAAGGAAGGGCGTTCATTCCAGGAACATGGGTAAATCACAGAAGTGTCATTGGCAGCTGTCATAAATTAAGCATGTACTATGTGTTAGGGGCTTTCCTCACATTGTCTAAGCCTCTAGCTACTCTGTTGGGGGAAACATTCTCCTTGTACAGAAAACAAAACTGGAACTCAGGGAGATACATGAATGCACAAATGCACGCCGCTGGTGGGACCAGGACGCCCCAACCTGGCTGCCATGCTACCTGCAGTGGAGTCCTGAATCACAGTGATCACCTTAGGCCAACAGCCTCATCTTACAGATGGGAAAACTGAGGCTGGGATCATTCTTCCACTAAAGGACACTTAGTAGCACCTACACATCAAGATAATATATAGAAATCATTAAGCAGGGTCTAGAACGTGGCTGGTTTTGCATGATGCTCTTCCACAGGTGGGGAGGCCAGAGCCCTGTGAAGGGAAATCTAGGGAACAGGCTCAGATTAAGGGGAGCCAGGTTCAAGCCCCAGCTCTGACATTTATCAGCTCTGCGACCTTCAGTATGTTACTTAACCTATTCACCTTTGAATCTCAGTGACCTCATCTGTAAAATGGGTACAATGATGATATACATAGCAAAGCATTGTTGCAAGAATTTAAATTCACTATGGCTTCTTATGTACCACACACTAAGTGAAGCGCTGTAAGTCTATTATCCCATTTGATGCCCTCAACGCCCCAGGGAGGAAGGGAAGTGCTGTTAAATCCTCCCTTTTACAGATAAGGAAACTGAGGCACCGAGAGGGGAGGGGATTTTCTCAACTCATGTAGACAGCTAGTAATTAGCAAAGCTGGGAGCTGACCGAGGCAGTTCACTCTGCAGCCCCATCGATTGCTCACCTACGGAGCCCAGCAGAGAGCGAGCTTCCATGAAATGCTGGTTGCTGTTCCCAGGGAAACCTGTTAACAGATGACCCAAAGCAGGCTCCTGTGACCAGACATAAGCTCCTGCCCATCTGTGCCCTTAGGTCTGGGCGGTGCCGGGAGGTCCGGGACACGGAAGAGCCTGATTTGTCCAGGCATCTTACCTGGGCCCTACAGGACCAACGTCTCCAACAAGAGCCACCAATGAAACCAACACAGGAAGTGCCATCCACCCCCAACCGTGCTATACCGGGTGAGCCCCGGGCACTGATACAGGGCACTGTGCTGCCAGGATGCTTCTGAGAATCAGCCAAGCAGGGAGCAGCATGTCTGAAGGTAAAGGCATGAGTGTGCCAAGAACATCTCTCCACTGGAGGGGTCAGAACCAGAGCCCCTGATGTTAGGATGTTAGCCAGACGAGAGCTTGTCACCGGGGTCCCTGCACATCAGACAGAACAATGGGCCCAGAGTGCCTTAACTTCCGGCATCAGAAGGAACGGTGTGCTGTGCGGTGCTCCTGGTGGTGGCTCCCGACGCACAGACACCTGGGAAAGCCCTGCTGTGGGCGAACCATGACAGCCCATCGCAAAGTAGGGAGCTGACTTTTCAAAAGCACCTAAAAATTAAACTGTCTATCAAAAGCCAGCTTTGTCTCTTTTCCTTCCCTCCTCCCCGCTAAATTGACTTTATTTCTCTTCCTTAGAAG